AAAATTCCTCAAAATTCCCATATTCCTAAAAACACATGTAGTTGACCATGCGCATATATCCCACACTGGATATGCAGTAGTCGTGAAATATGTTTTTCATATAACTTTGACGTTGATGAAGCGATTCGTTTTTTTATTCATTTCCTCATGTGTTTTTGATCAGCACTAGAGAAATATACGAGGCTCGTAACGCCTTGCATGATTTCCAGAATGGAAATAGTAAACTCACTGACGAACAACTTTGGAAGGCTCGAAAACTGAAGGAATCGGCGGTAACATGAAATGTGGAAATTTTACGGAAAAAAATATTTTTATCGATTCTGAAAAATATCGTAACAGTTTCACCAAAAAGAATTTTATAGATAAGTTTGCGGCGACGGTAATTTTATGTTTCCGCGGAAATTCAGATTTGCTATGTTCATTCGAAGGGAAGTTTCACAACTATTCGTTTTACGTGGTGTGAAAAACGTGATATTCGCGGTGATAGGACGTTTTTTGAAATTTACTTGCCGACCAAAGATATGAGGATGCAGACAAAACACATACCACGTGTTTTACGCGTTTTTAACTGCTCAAGTGAAATCTGAAATATATTTTTCACTAGTGTTTGTTCGTATTACGGGTGAAACTCTAGTGGTGAACGCTATTAATTGCTATTATGACACTTTATATCACCGTTTTTGAAAATACTTGCCGGATTACACCGGACAGATCGCCCCATTTCACATACTATGTGTTTTACGCGTTATTCACTGCGCGAGTGAAATGTGTAATATATTTTCCACTAGTCGTTTCGCGTTCCACGGGTGAAACTCCACTACCATATTAAAAAACTTTCTCGAAATTTTTATATTTTCATCCACACTGATTTCAGGTACTTCCGAGATCTACAGTAGAGCAGGAGCCCTTTGGTGAGTTCTGAAATTGTTAGTTTTGATATTTATAATTTTTAATTTCAGATAAACCGAGCAGTTCAGCAAGTTTGGGGTCAATACGAAAACTTACAAAAAGGGTAATATTTATTTTTTGTTGTATTTTTGGAGGAAATTTTGGGAATTTAGTTTGAAAATTTGCAATTTTGAAGAATTTTTGGGGAAATTTATGATGAATCTTCGTCGTGTGGTAGGATCTATTCCGTATCTTTCATAATTGGACCTATTCCGTATCTTTCATAATTGGACTTATTCCGTATCTTTCATAATTGGACCTATTCCGTATCTTTCATAATTGGACCTATTCCGTATCTTTCATAATTGGACCTATTCCGGATCTTTCATAATTGGACCTATTCCGTATCTTTCATAATTGGACCTATTCCGTATCTTTCATAATTGGACCTATTCCGTATCTGCCATGATTGGACCTATTCCGTATCTTTCATAATTGGACCTATTCCGTATCTTCCATGATTGGACCTATTCCGTATCTTTCATAATTGGACCTATTCCGTATCTTTCATAATTGGACCTATTCCGTATCTTTCATAATTGGACCTATTCCGTATCTTTCATAATTGGACCTATTCCGTATCTTTCATAATTGGACCTATTCCGCATCTTTCATGATTGGACCTATTCCGTATCTTTCATAATTGGACCTATTCCGTATCTTTCATAATTGGACCTATTCCGTATCTTTCATAATTGGACCTATTCCGTATCTTTCATAATTGGACCTATTCCGTATCTTTCATAATTGGACTTATTCCGTATCTTTCATAATTGGACCTATTCCGTATCTTTCATAATTGGACCTATTCCGTATCTTCCATGATTGGACCTATTCCGTATCATCTTATCTCAGCTAAGCTCAATGCTCTCAAGCACCGAAGAGGAGGGTGACGAAAATTTAATGGATGAGGACCCATTAGACTTGGCTCGAAAGGGGATGGGAAAACGAAGAGAAACTGTAATAAGGGAGGCGTATCTTAGGTTGCGCACATAAAGATTCAAAATAGGCCCAAATGGGGACTATGTGTAGCAGTGATTTGAAAATTTGTCCGAGTATTTTTATGAAATTCTGATTTGAATTATATCATCATTTTTAACTATAATGAAGTTCCACCCGTTCTACGTGAAGTGGCGTAAAACGCGATATTCGCGGTGATATGCAGTAGTCGTGAAATATATTTTTTTCACTAGTGTTTTTCATATCACCTTAATATTGTTTT